ATGGAAAAATAAATTAAATAAAATATGGAGAAGAAAAAGAAAAGAGTAGAGAATTATGCGAAGAGCGGCTTCTTTTGGGATCATGACATTTTAAATTTCAAATTCAAAAAATATGATGTATGTGCCAGTTTTATAGTATGCATAACACTTGGAACCGTCTTCTATTGGATGAGCTTAATTATGATCGTAACGCACTTGATGTGGAACACGAAGCACTTCTTGGAAGAATGACCGATGAACAAAAAGGAGTTTATTCAAAAATTATGTCCGCTGTTGATTCAGGTGCTGGTGGAGTATTTTTTTGTATACGGTTATGGTGGTACTGGAAAGACATACTTGTGGAGAACTTCGTCTGCGGCATTGCGGTCGAAGGGTAAAATCGTTTTAAATGTGGCATCGAGTGGAATTGCATCGCTTTTGTTACCTGGTGGAAGAACTGAACATACTCGATTTCGAATACCGATTAGTATTCATGAAAATTCTTCTTGTGATATTAATCAGGCAAGTCCTCTTGCGGAGCTGATAATGAGATGCTCTCTAATCATATGGGACGAGGCGCCAATAATGCACAAAAACTGCTTTGAGGCAGTTCAAACATCACTGCAGGGTGTAATGGGAGTATTAGACCCTTCGAATAAAAGCAAGCCCTTCGGAGGCAAGCCGATTGTCTTTGGTGGAGATTTTCGACAAATCCTTCCAGTCATTCCAAAGGGGAGTCGCCAAGATATTGTCAATGCATCCAGCATTTGGAGGGACTGTACTGTGCTCCGGCTTACGAAAAACATGCGTCTTCAGAGCATTTCTGATTCGGATGAGCGTGACGAGGTGGTTGCATTGAGGATTGGATTGCGAGTATTGGAGATGGTACTATAGCAGGATCAAATGATGGTTGTGCCGCGATCGAAATTCTAGATGATATAAGACTGGATCCATCTGATGATCCAATTGCTAAGTACCTATCCAATGTTCAAGAACGCAACTAACGATCTGGGTTATTTGAAGGATAGTGCTATATTAGCTCCCACATTGGAAGTTGTTGTGTCCATCAATCGATACATGTCTGATATGAATTATTCTGAAGGTCGTACGTACTTGAGCTCTGACAGTACTTCTAAGTCGGATTCTGACAATGATTTCTTGGCATATCTCCACACGCCAGAATTCTTGAATAGCATCAAGTGTTCTGGAACTCCCAATCATGAGTTGCACCTGAAGGTAGGAACTCCAGTAATGTTGTTGCGCAATATGGACCATTCTATGGGACTGTGTAATGGGACGCGATTGGTTGTGACTAAACTCTCTACTCATGTTCTCGAATGCAAGATATTGACGGGAGATTACGCTGGAGAGAATGTGTTGATTCCTAGGATGAATATCACTCCATCTGATACTAGGATTCCATTTAAGTTCCAGCGACGACAGTTTCCACTTGTGATTTCGTATACCATGACCATAAACAAGAGTCAAGGACAGTCTTTATCGCACGTTGGTCTATTTCTGAAGAAACCAGTTTTTAGTCACAGCCAATTGTATGTTGTTGTTTCACGTGTAACTAATAGAAGAGGGTTGAAGATATTAGTTTGTGATAATAAGGAGTTACCCAATAACTAAACTCATAATATTGTGTACAATAAAGTTTTTAATAATATATAATTGTTTCGTGACGAAACAATTCTTTTTATTTTTAATAATGTTCCTACGTATTATAATTCTTTCAATCCCAATTCATGCCATATTATATTATTATCCAAAATTATACAGCCCGTGCAACGCACGTGTTCTACACTAGTTTATCCTGTAAAAAGTCTCATCATTAAGCATTTTCAATAAACTAAATCATTGATTCATAATATGATCCAAGCGTTAGGAAAAAGTCTTGCACACCATAAACTTAATCCAGGGGCTCCAGTAATATCATATCCCCAACAACAATAAGTCCACTATAATTCCAGGAAGATAAAACTCATGAAGATCCAAATTTACATGATACGAAAGCAACTTTTTTGCAATGTGCCTAACAAACAACTTGATAAGAGGATGAACACACAGTGCCCATGGTCCCTAAATTGGCACATGATCTATGGATTAGTCTGCGGTCCAGCTTTGCTCCACAATATCTCTCACTCGGCGATTATACTCCTTTTTGTTCTCACTGAACAAACGAGCAGCTTCGGAATTCGCGGGAGAATTCGGATTTGGGTCGCACAACAATGACTTCAACAGTAATAAAATGTAAATATCAGTTTCCCTTTTTCTGAAAAGCAATTTCGTCAATAAAACTACAAAGAACATATATAAAGATTATCTTTCTTCTTAACAACATTTTTATAAACAAACACTAGAAAAAACACCACCATGAAATTTACTTCAAACGCCTCATTTTTCACACAGTTTCCAAAATTTGTTCTGACTAATAAATGTTATAAACAAGTGGTTAAACTTTAAATTTTGACGTTAATGAACCGGAGTGAGTAATATATGGAAGATAACATAACTTTAAATTTGACGTAAATGAACCAGAGCAAGTAATATATGGAAGATACATATGATGTTCTGATCATCAAGAATCATAAAAAAGCTCAGTATTCTTTAATACTTCAATTTCACAAGTTTCAAGGAAGCTGTGCTTCACAAACACTCTCAATCCAATATATGGAAGATAATATATGATAACCCTGATCATCAAGAATCATAAAAAGCTCAGTATTCTTTAATTCTTCAATTTTACAAGTTTCAGGGAAGCTGCTTCACAAATCACAAATACTCTCAATCCAATAGGCAACAGCTATTTCGTGTGACTTCACTTTGATTTTTCAAAAGACTGTATTTTCCCAGAGAGAAAGAACTATTAAATTTAGACGCTGTCAAGGGTAACGATTTATTCCAGTTATACTTCCTTAGCATTAAGAATAATCAGATCAAAAGGCACCAGCATAAGATTACGTTGTCGATTTTCTAGAGTTACTTAAAAAATCTCGGAATTACAGTACGTCTGCCGACAGAGATACGAATTATAACCTCAACCATATAAGGCCTATAGGAAGGCCATGCACACCAAATGTAGCAATTTACCCCAGTCTACATAAAATAAAGACCCGCGACTTTAGGCAACACAAAAGTGTCAATATGCTTATCAACACTCTACGTTTGTTTAATAATATTAAAAAGAAAAAAAAAACATTAATCACAGTTTTCTGAAAGATAACTCTTGTACCTGGATGGATGTAAGTATAGCAGCAGCATCATATATAGGGCTCCACTGATTCTGTAAGATGTCCAAACAAATACTTCCATCTGCATAAACTGATTCCAAGATAAAATTTAAAATGAGATTAACATTAAGATAAAAGAATCAACAAAATGATTTTTTAATGCCATAGACTTACTATTAGGGTGGAACATCCGAGAAACAAACCGAACAGTAGGTGGCTTGTTTGGATAATCTTCTGTGAACTGGAGTGTCAGTTTGAACGTACCTATTACACTCAAAGGACAAGGCATAAGGTTCTAATCGACCCGTATCATCACAAACGAAACGGAATGCAACTCAAAATTTAAGTACACAAGATATAATGCACAAACCAATTGCAGATGAACTTCAACAAACAACATAAAATTCTGATGCTAGACCATTGGGCAAGGCGCATCATACACAAAAGAGCACAAGGTAACATGCATTATCATGTGATTTAAGAATAGAATTCAAAATAAGGGAGTCAGACTACAAAATCTACAGAAACATTTTTTTCTAAATTGGTCTTGCTTCTATAATGTGGTTGCCACATACATTCACAGTACTATTTCACAAGAATGACCATCACAACATTTCAGAGCAGGCAAGAGCATGGGGCTTTTACAAGGAACTAAATGAAACTAAATAAGAGAACAAAAAAAAAAAAAACATGGTGTCAACTCTTTCACATTATGCTTGAAGATATCAAGTGTTCCAAGGAGATGGATAATTTGTGTTGCCGAACATATTTCTAAATACAGACTATTACCGTAGTTAATGTTATAAATCAACTAAACAACACAAAATACCTTCAGTTGTCAGCCATCTCCAAAGATCAGAAACATACAGCATAAGCAATAATTTCTTGATATATGACGCAAATGGAAAAACACAAACATTGAATCTCACAAGCAATGGCACGACAAGCATACTACAAAATCTTTATAATCAAGAAAAGTAAAATAGTGAGATAGATACATATATGAAAAACAAAACTAAATTGAGCAAGCATGGCGTTCAAAAAAAGAAACAGAATAAATGAATGAACGAATGAAAGAAAGAAATTATGTTTGCTACATATCAGTGAGGACTAGATTAACTCACCTCCATCCCAAGGTGTATCATCTGGACTGCAATCCACATGAAACAAGAAAGATAGAATACATAAGACATCTTCCCAACAATATACAAAAAATATTTAAAAAAAAAAAAAAAACACAAAACATTCAGTCAAAATTCATTAAATTAGCAAACCCAATCTTTTTACTGGTAAACCGAAGATTGCTCACCCAAATATAACTGCATTCCACAGCATAATATTATTGTCTTGTGGGGCGCCACTGATGCCTGCAGGTGGGTCCTGCTGCAACCTCCTGAAGTCCCTCATCAGCCTCTTCCGAGCTGGAGTTGACATCTCAAATCCTTGATGATAACAAAAATTAACACCAATTATTATCAAAATTGATAATCGAGGCAAGTTACTTTATTAAAAAACCCACATTATAATTTACAAACGAAAATGAACCCCATTGTCATATAAGCACGTTCGCCCAAGCATGATTAAATACGATT